ATGGGGGGTTTTTTTTTTTTTTTTTTTTTTTTTTTTTTTTTTTTTTTTTTTTTTTTTTTTCTTTAAGGGCAAATACTTGTGCTTGTGAAGAGGTTATGGTACTAACAACATCTAAAATTCAAGTGTGTTTTTGAGGCACAATGCAGATATGCTATCCGTACAGAAAGCTAATCAGTGCATCTCTTTGTCATGCTTCTCATTTGAGTGGCCTCTACATTGCCCCCCACTCCAAGTTAAATTGCTATGGGAGCACTTAAGCTAAAACTTCCTCATGATAACAAAATTACTTTAATTGTTGGGTGTTGTGGTTTACAAATCACTGAAAGAGAAGCCTCTCCAACCACATCGCATGCCTTAACTTCTTTTTAAACTTTTGTCTAGCATATGAAATTCCAACAATGTTTGAATTAATATTTCTTCATGTTAGACAGGGCAGCATTTCAACATTTGGTGCTATAAATCGAAAACAAATTTGGTTTACCTGTCAAAATATAGTTTGGCAAGTAATTCACATGACTCCTTTTCATGTCAAAAGAACCTTGAACTCTGCTTCACTGGGTTAGTTAGCTTACAGTAGCCAAAATTTACCAAGTCTTGTGTTTCCCTCAGCAATATAGAGAAATTTGATGTTTCTGTAGCTTCTAAACTTGCACTTGAGCAGACACTGAAACTTAATGCTGGCCATGAATCTGGCAACTTGTTTCATACCTGCCTTGCTGCCTTTTACTGTAACTAAATAAACTGCCGATTTGCTGTGTAATTGTAACTGTTTTTTTTGTGATTGTTGCTGTCCATACTTGTTTGTGGCATGGAATATCTACAAATCCCTGGTATTAGTAGATGGCTCTAATGAAGCCAAGCACCTATATTATGGGGGAATATTTGTGTTGGGTGGCATTAAGGGTGTTCGGGGGGGGTAATGTACCACTCTAGTTGTATATGCATGTGTTCTCTGCTGCAGGCTTGCCCATGCGATCGTGCCTAGAGCACTCTGGTTTCCAGGTGACAGACACGATTCACGGTATAGTATGAGATATCTGAAGTTGGAGCATTCTCTACAGCTTTCATTTCTCTAGTTCTGGATTTAATTTTTTTTAAAGGATAAGGGTTAAGTAGTACCAGCTACTATTTACTGAGTACTAAAAATTGTACAAAATACTGCCCCTTCCTTTTCTCTGCTCCCTCATTAGAGAATGGTAACTCTGTCCAAAATCAAGGTAAGCAATATTTCTGTGCATGTGTAGCTTTTTTTAATCCTTTAAGATTGTCTTCTACCCATTTGTTGTTGGCAGGACTTATTCTAACTTCGTTCCCTTCAGATCTAGCTACATCAGGGACTGAACACAAGTTAGCTGAATAAACAAACTTAATAGTGTTGCCAGATTGCAAGGACTATGCATCCCTTTGTTGGGTAGCTCTCATACCAGCTTTAATGATCTGTTTCTAAAGTCCAGGAAGGATTTTAGATAGACTGATACTGTAAATGTTGTTTTCTTTTGTCAGGAATATTTCAAGATACAAAAACCAGTGTTGCATTATCACTTTGGGGCATTTTAATTTTGTCAGCAAATCGAACTGGTCATTAAATTTTGAGTAAATCGTACAGATTTCAGTGCTAGAAATAAACATGGAAACAGCTTGGGTCCACTTTTTAAAGAATAGCTAGCTCTGTCACCATTAGTTGTGGACTCTTGCTGCTGAATTTATTTCATCCATGATTATTTTGAGTCCTGAGCAAGCTAACTTTTTCAGGTGAAATCAGTTGTCCAGCAAATTCTGCAGTGTTAGGACAAAGGTGCACAACTCCAGTTTTCCCTGGCCTACTTGATCACTGTAAACATATTAGTTGTGGTCATCATACTTGCAGATGGAGATACCTGTCCATTTGATATTCATAAAGAAGAAAACAATTGGAATGTGTTTAATAGGTTACTATAGGATCATAGCAGGGAAAATACTAGTTCAGTCTTGGTCATTTAAGTTTAGAGATCACAAGTTCTTCAGGGGTGAAGATCTTATCAGAATAGTTTGTAGCTCGAAGATATAAAGACTTTAAAAAAAATTATTCTTACACTTCAGTATGGTATACTTTGTCACAGTTGCAACTACTGACCAAAACCTTTTGGGGAGGGGGTTATTCCCTTAATTTGCCTCAGAAATCCTCTTACAATACCTGGAAGTAATTAGTGACCATCTAATTTGAGCAGTTAAACTTTTTCACTTCTCTTTGAAATAAATCCAAAACTAATGCTGGCACTACCAAGAGTAGCACTGCTAGACCTTTTGATAATACCTTGCAAGTTTATGGAAACAAGAATTGAAGCCACCTATTCATGAACAAATCGCCAGAAATGGATTCAGTTCATCCTCAGTCAAGTTGCCACCTACAAGAATAACATTTCAAGAAAGTAGCTTTTTTTTTTATGCCTTACTAAACCAAATATAAAATGGACTTCTTAGCTGCTAACAGTTGTCTCTTAATGTAACTTCCATCACAAAACATACAACAACAAAAATTGCTAGCATGTGGAGAGCTGACAATCTAAGTAGTCCTAATTCAGTACCCCCAAGTAAACGGATAACCATTTCTAGAATTGCTTCACCACGAGCTCCCTATTCATAATCCATCTTCTTTCTTGTTTGGACATTTTAAAATATTCTATGCTGAGGGAACAGAAAAGAGGAAGGGATGCTGCAGAAGGTTTTCTTAGGATTCTGCAGCATGTCCTGCATTGTCTTAATGGCACTTACTCTATGTTCAGTGGAAGACTTCTCGGACGCTAGTCTGAAGAATGCTCTTAGAACTGGCCAGCTTTTTAATTCACTGACTTAAGTGCAGTGGAAGTGGATGCCAGATCAGGTTCTAGGGGAAAGCCATCTAATCTACTTACCTTCTTATGACCTGAACCATTCTAGGAGCATCATTAAGCAGGAAAGACTCCTGGATGGTGAGTAACCCTGAAACAAGAAAAAGCATTAAGATGCAATAGTGGTATTGATGTGGGACACTCCTCCCCACACCCCATCCCTCTCCCCTATCTCTTTCGCTCCCCTCCCTGCCCCTTCCATCTCCCCTGGGCTCATCTGTAAATGACTCCATTGTGTAACTTCATGTTAAGATTGGTGAATGTGTTTTGACTTAATATTTCCTTGAAATGAATAGATGCTAATAGCAGCCTTCATATTGTCTGCTAGAAACTTAGAATGGGAAGTACTTGCTGAAAGACTATATTGACTATGTCCCTGTTGTACCTTTTGAAATACTGTAGCTTTATAATTTGTGTAAATCATTAGCTTGTTGTATGGTGCTTAAGACAGCTGGTGTTGCTTAATGTATTCTGTTCAGTTCACATTTCCACCTTTTTGTACGGATGTGTTAGAGCTTTGAAACAGAAGGGTATGTTTTTTATGGTTCCATGAATCAGATGTTTCTATTCAGAAGGTGGAGAGAGGCTTCCTTTATGGCCCTCAAACCTAGTCTGGTTTGAACAGTGAGCTGTAGAATTGCAGTATTAATAGCGGCCACAAACTGCCATTAATCTGAACTCTGAGTAAATATTTGCTTACTCCTTGCCTTCAAAAGACTCCGAGGTTTTACTCTTTCTTGCATTTTAAAATGTGCAACTGTGTTTAAAAGCATGTGCCATTGAGAGCTCAGCTGCTGAGGGTATGGTTTAAATGCATTGGAATTGTTTTGTGATGGCCATAGGCAAACACCGTCCAGTATAGATTGCATGGAATAAATTGGTAGTTTACTTGAAATTGTGCAATCTTACTGAATTGTCCAAGTTTGTATTCCATGTGTAGATAACTTTTCAAAAAGTCATGACATACGCAATTGCTTGCACATGTAGCAAAATACTTACTACGTGTAAGCAAATGGGAACAGCAAAGCAGGTACTTCTGCAAGCTTTCCACTCAACGCAGCCAATGTTACTCTAAGGCTTTATTCAGTTTCTGCTGTCTGAGATTTTAAAATCTTTTGGATCTAGCTGCAAGAAAAATGTTTTCCACAGTGACATAAAACACACTAGAAGTGCTGTAAACTTTTAAATTTACACATTTTAAATCCAATCTTAATTTACTGAAGCTCTTAATTGCCAATATTGCACGTGGCTTTGCCTCAGTGGTACATCCTTTTGGAGTCATCTGCTGTATGCAGCAAGACAAGTGGTCAGACACTGAATACTAGTGGTATAGTTATTACTGATTAGATTAAATGTGGAGTCATAGTTAACTATAGCTGTCACTTCTACTCCCTCTGTTCTGGTGGCTGCAAATTTATCGTGTTAGCTGTTATCTTCTCACTGTAAGTCCTTCCTTTTTCTCATTCATAGAGATCCTGTAACAAGGGAGGTTCTGGACAGGCTCAGAAGGAAAATGACTTAACAGTAAGTAATTCTCCTGGTTGTATCTCTGCAGTAAGAGTTCAGAAACCTGCCCAAGATGGGTATGATGAATGCTGCTCTTGGTGTTGTGCTTCTCTAGAGAAGTGGAGGAAGTTAAGTCATTTGTATTGCTTTTTTTTCTTAGTGCCTTCTCTTCCATTTTTCTCATTCCGTCATGTTGGACAAAGTCTATGTTCTTTGCATGTCAGATGTTGTACTTGCTTATGCTGCCTCAAGTATGAACTTGACTCCTATATAGGAGAACCTGCAGGTCGAGGAGATTAAATGGAATTTAATCTTGCTTAAAGATGCCACTTGTGCAGGGTTGTAAGTTCTGAATCTTAAAACACTATTTCCTAACTGATAGAATCCTCCTGGTACTGCTGTCCATAGCTGAACAGCACTAGCTGCTTTGCATCCTCCTTGTTCATTTCCCTGGTTGCTTCCTTCTTGACCGTGGTTGAGGATGATATACAGTTTGCTCTGCTCTGTCTGATGCAAAAATACTATCTTCTTTTCTCGTATTACCTGCCTGCAAGTCACATCATTGACAACTCTAAAATTCTTGGTCACTGTTTCTTGCAGTTTGGGGGGGGGGGGGGGGGTTAAAAGT